TGGGCCAATAGGCCCGCTGCAGTTTCCTCCATTCTTATGTTCTTATGGTCTTATATATTTATACATGTATCAGACACAGAATCCCAAGTCATCCAGTGAAAGATGGGATATTAAGGTGTCACGCACTCGTGTAACGAAGGACGCCCAAGCAGTGTTGCTGCCCTGTTATCGTTGAACACCACCCGATATGGGAGGTAAAACACCTGGGGACATAATAACACCTGAGGAGTGAGGATTTGAAAAATCACTATTCAACTTTGAAGCTCTTCAGTGTTAGGTTAATCATACACAAATGGAAACTCACAAGTTACGAACCTGTAAAATATGAATTTATCTGCTGGTTTTACTCACGTATGAATGAATAGTGTGATAACAAGTTGATACATTACATGACGCTTTAAATGACAGGTACGATATATAAAACTATAAGTAAATGTATACAAAAACAATGACCCTACATAATACTGAAAACTGTGCGGTAACGATTCTTCATAAGTTTATTTCATTGTCAAGTTGTCAGTCAGTTCCACCTGTTGGGAGACTCCCTTCAACTAGACTTAAGCTGCTCTGTACCATGGCAGCAAAGGACCACCATCTCGTGGCTGAATATAAAAACTGAGCCAGAAACTCACAGGGTTCACTAGGTCGGTCTTGCGTTTCAATCTAGCTGCCGAGATCGTGACCCTTTTGAGGTGACTGTACCTCGTATATACCTGCTTTGAATATATTGATATGTCAGGTCTCGTCTTGTTTTGTAGCCCCCCCGCCCTGGAAAAAATCCTGAGGACACCCATGAATGAATTATAATGGGAGTTACCTAGCATGGATTAACAGTTTCTACTGCAGTATCTGTATTTCATATATGCTTATGTAATAACAACTCTGTAACTGGTACAGACAGCCAAAGATGCATCGACCTCACCCTGGTTATCTACTCGCAATCCTACCTGGCAATACTTGGTGAAGTGTGGCTGTATGTAATGGGGATTGTGATTGGTGGATCAATTTTCGGCTGTATCACTGTAAGGATAATTATTAAACAATCCAAAGGTATCATTTTTATAATATTCATCGTTATTTAAGATCAAGACACGTTTCTAAATGTTGCTGTATTTGCTTAAATAATTAAGAAATTATATTAATAAGTTGGCGACGCAACAACAGCTTGGGCTGCCGCAAGATACATCAAATTTCTAGAATACAAGATACCTCTTTAATGATAATTTCAATCATATTGTAACAATAAGAGACTTGTTTAAGTCGGATTTAAGTTGGATAAGTTTAGGTTTAGGAGGGAGATAGGAAGGAACTGGTTCACAAATAGGGTGGTGAACGAGTGGAACAAGCTTAGTAACTTTGTAGTAAGTGCTAGAACGCTGGAAAGTTTTAAAAGGAGGCTAGATAGATTATGGATGATAGAGAGTGGTAGTAACTCTCGACAGGAGCTGCCATGCACAGGCCAACCGGCCTATTGCAGACTCCTTATTTTCTTATGTTCTTATGTGTATTCCATGGCGGCACATAAGAGGAAGGAGTCAGGGAGCACAGCAGCACGCTCGGTTCGCGACCAGTTACTGTTACAGCTCACTGACCCCCAGAAATACGTTCACTTCACACACAAATACACTCTCATGCTCTTCATTTTTCTCATTTTATTAATTTATATTATATTTTCTTTATTTAAAAGCCACATTAGAGTACTAGAGTATTTTAATGATTTTCCACAACTTTTATACAGCAGTTTAATTACATGTAACAATGGGAACATGCCCATCTTACAGGCCCCCTCATCCTCATTGTTTCTCTTTTCCAGTGAGTCAAGCTGTGGTAAACTGAATTTTGACCTAATGTTAAGTGAGAAAAGGTGTAAAAAAATTTTTAATTAGACCGAATTAAGTTATGTGAATTAATGCTAAACGATGGATGCTTGTATAAGGAAAGAGTGTTTGGTGCTGTTGTAATGATTGTTTATCAGACCATAGCTTACAGCCCAGACAAAACTGCATATATAACAATAAGTAGATGAGCAGGTGTACACCCTAGAGCAGTGTTTTTCAAACTTTTTTACTGCGACCCACAGCCAGAACAACAATTTCTATTGCGACCCATTAAACCTAAGTGTAATGATATGAAATGAGTAAATCAAAGACAAACACTGTTCACAATTTTCCTTTATTTAGCATCGACAAAATTCATGTAAATTTCTCATGATCCATTTATATTTGAATTATATGTATCCAATTGTTTATTTTGTGACCCAATTTATTTATTTCGCGACCCACTGAAGGGTCGGGACCCCCTAGTTTGAAAACCCCTGCCCTACAGTGAGATTAAGATCTGACTCAGGAGAACTGACGGCCACAAGGTACCTGAGGTAACCCGGCGTTATGACCGCGTTAAAGAAACTCACCTGACCAAGAAATAACCGGGTGGTAATAGTTAGGAAGCATTACCGACCGGCGACATGACCACGCACCTGGGCAAACACGGCTGTCCAAACCTGACCCAGGAGAGGTCATGGTCACATTGACCCAGAGTTCTCACCGCCACGTCATTAGCTAACCCGGCGACATGACCGTGTTACTCAAGAAGCTACCCTCCAGCCAGTACACCTGTCACCTGGCCAGACACACCCAGATTAGTGACGACATCTTCTGGCTCGTAACGGCCAATATAAGATCCTGCAGCTACTTCCACGGGGCTATTAGCATTCGGATTATTATTAGAACAGGGAAGGGGTCGACAGCGCCTTCCCAGAGAGAGGACTCAGTCACTAGTCGAACATAAGAACATAAGAATTTAAGGAGTCTGCAATAGGCCGGGTGGCCTGTGCATGGCAGCTCCTGTCGAAAGTTACTACCACTCTCTATCATCCATGAATCTATCTAGCCTACTTTTGAAACTTTCCAGCGTTCCAGCACTTACTACATAGTTGGTAAGCTTGTTCCACTCGTCCACCACCCTATTTGTAAACCAGTTCCTTCATATCTCCCTCCTAAACCTAAACTTATCCAACTTAAATCCGATGTTCCGAGTCCTATCCTGCTCGGATATTATAAGAACTTTATCTATATCACCTTTATTGATTCCTTTCACCCACTTGAATACTTCTATCATATCTCCCAGCACTCTTCGTCTTTCTAGGGAATGCAAGTTTAGTTTCTTTAACCTATCCTGATATGGAAGGTTTCTAAGTCCCGGAATTATTTTCGTCATTCTTTGCTGCACCGACTCTAGTGAATTGATATCCATTCTATAATAAGGGCACGAGAACTGAACCGCATAATCGAGGTGCGGCCTGACTAGCGCAAAATATATAGTTGCAATAAGACCTCTGCACTCTTATTACTTACACTTCGAGATATTAAACCCAATACTCTGTTTGCCTTATTTCGAACATTAACGCACTGTTTTCTAGTCCGTAGGTCCGGGCTTACAAGTACACCTAGGTCTGTTTCACAAGTCGACATCTCTAGGTTGATGTTGTTAAGGCTGAGGTCGGAAGCGAAACCTTCCTCCTCAGCACCGAGTCCTAGCTAGCAGAGTCTCCCACAGGAGACATAGTCCAGCACTCTCTTCAGCAGCACCTGCTGGGCCTCCTTCAGGTCACACGTGAGTCATTGTCAGAGCGATCCATAGGGTGAGTTACTTACAGTGGGAAGTGTATCCATTTCATGTTTGTGTCCGAGAGTCATTGTCTTATAACGTAAATATAATGTTCTATTAATGTGTCTGTGTCATTGAGTTGACTAATAAATAGCTGTACTTAGAGTTGGTGTTTAGAAGTTGTCCCCTAAAAAACATAGTAACAGTTAAATAACTAATCGGCCACGCTACCAAACTTTCCTCACTTTACAATCCTACAACTAAATATTAACTCTACCTATACTTTCTACACTTAATTTTCCTCATTATACTGTATTTTCATGATGTAATTCTTTCTTAAATCCACAAATTGTATATCAGTTTTCAATTAGCCAACACTCAAGGTAGATGCTTTTGTTGTGGTCAGGACGTTTTTATCAGTTTTAAGCCCTCCCAAGGAGCTGGGTTCTCATTGCTTTATTGTCTGGTTGTGTCCTAAATATAACAATGAATTCCATGTATTTTAATAATTAAAACATTATTTGGGAAATTTTTCCCAGGGCTTGCAGGTGGAGTCACCTGTTATATCAAACTTATTGTGCGGCTGTCACTTTGTGTGTGATGCCGGGAAAGGACTTTCACCTCAGCCTAGTTCCACCACAGCCTTCCCTAACCCAAATTCAAACTAGCCAATGCACAGACAGGAATGAGTTTGTGCATGTTTATGCACAGCCTCATTCCTGTCTCTATTCATCTCAACCCAGCACCTTCATATTAAGCCTTAACGGCCTTAGTTCCATCTCAGGCTCAGTAATCCCCTCCACCTTTTATTCAGCACAGCTCTTTTCTAGCTGCCCAGCCCCAGCCACACCTTAATCACGTTCCAGTTAACTGTATCCCTGAAGCATCTCATAACTATTTTGTCTCCTGTTGTGCCTCTGACTAATGCACCCCTTACCATCTTTTAACCCAGCCCTAAACCCCCTGACTTAGCCTAGCGCTACCCGAGCCTTTATGCAGTACAGTACAGTCCTGCATCATGCCAGCCTAGCTGTACCCCCAACATCATAATACCCCAACCTGTCCAGTCCTAACATAACTTCGTCCAGTTTCAACCTTATTTCGGGCTAGCGTCACTCCACTCTGATCTCATCCCAACTTAACTGTGACCCACTCCATTTCATTCTCAATGCTTAGTCCCATCAAGCCCGTCATGATTGTGCTTATGTTTCCTGTTAACATTTACCGTATTAAACAATATATCTTCGTCAGCCTGTGTGTGTTTAGGTGTGTTGCTAGTCTTGTATAACAAAAAGCAGCAAAACAACCAACACAACAATATTGTTATACATGATAATTAAGTTGAAGTCATTGATACAAAAAGGATTTAAGAAAGGATATGAAATAAAATTGTGTTGCAGTGCGGACATTTATCATTTAACATAAGGATTACGTTGTATGTCACATTACAATTATTCACTGTATATTCTCTGACAATTCATTAGTAATACATATCGCTTCAGATAATTATTTATTTGTGTGTCAATTTCCAAGGTGAGAGGGAGCGGGGACCGAGCGGTTAAATTGATGGTCCATAATAAAAAGTGTTTTTTTCTTTACTAGAGGCAAATATGACCCTTTCATTACACTAATCATTCTTCTGTTGTATATTTATTAAATAAAAAATCACCTGAGAAGGTTACAAGTTACAAGTAGTAGAAGCTCCAAAGGTCTCTGCCATAGTCTTGATAAGGTCAAAGGAACGGTCGTGACAGTAGCCATGGAAGTCGTCGTAATCCACCGTCCACACCATCATGCCGGCCAACTTGTGTTCCTTGGCGTAGTTAGCCTGTCACATACACATGAATAGTATTAGTAGTTGTTATTATTGACAAAGTAATGTTCACAATTGCAGGTAATATTGCTTAGAAAGGGGAATCTCTCATCTTCACAAACTGTGCACTCAAACTCACTTCTTTGTAAACTAAGAGCATTTATCCCTCTTTACTCGTCGTACACTGTTCCATCCTCTTTAATATCCATCTTCACTCTTCAAATATCAAACCAAGAAAGTTTTCATAAAGAAAATACTATTATGGCAGGTTATGGAAGTAATATTGCATCATGTTATTGGCATTGGCCTAACTCCTTCCAATCGCTTTGGAGTGACCTCTGGCATGGTTTAGTCTTGGTGTCTTGGGTTTTGGAAAAAAATATTTATCAGCTGATAAATATTTTTTCCAAGACGTATACGAGAATATTTGTGTAATTCATGATTAATATACACCAAGCAGCTTCTTTATTCAGAGACACTGGCGCCTTGGCAAATCACACAAAGTATGTGCAGATTGATTCATGCATGATACTTATGATAATAGTACAAAGCAATGTAACAGTAAAAGAAATAATATATTATTGGAATATGAATAGAAAAATATGCAGGTCAGAGGACGCTTACCATAGCTACTAGTTCAGTTGGGTCAGTCACCCCACACCGGTACACCCCCTCCCACCTCCCTCACTCCAACCTCATTAAATAACTTACCTGTTGGGTATGTCATAGACAATAGGTTTTGTGGGAATTAAAACACCTGCTCCTAACGATCTGAAGCGTTTTATAATTATTATTATGAACATTTATGTTTCTACTACCCGTGTAAATCTGGCAATTGGTTTAAATAATTGACAAAAGTCTACATAAATCGTTTCCTAATATTTGTAGCCCACGTTTTTAAATTAGTACGCAGATATTCTCCTACTACCGTTGATATCTAATAATCCCATATAAGCATATTATGTGCCCATATTTTATATTATACAAATGAAATATAGATAAACCATAACAAAGAAGTGAACCTTCCAGGGGGCAAAGGCTCTTCCTAGGCTGAATAAAACCATCTGCGATTTAACCAATATAAATCATCCGGTATTAGCCAGTATAAATCGTCTAGCATTAGGCAGTATAAAATTAATCGTCTGACGTTTGCCAGTATAAATCGTCTGGCTTTAATCGTCTAGCGCAGGGGTGTCAAGCATACCGCCCGTGGGCCGCATGCAGCCCGCAGCCCACTGGCTGCTCCAGCTGCACCTTGAGCAGCTAAGAGACTTAGAAGTGAAAAGTTAAGATTATTTGTATCGGATAATACACGTTTAGTCTATTGACTCCATCTATTCTATTGAGTCTGTTCATAGGCAAGTGCCTGTAGGATGTTTTGTGAATCTCAGTCCAGTATGTATAGTCACAATCCAAAGTTTCGACACCTCCCCCCCCCCTCAACCTGGCTGGGCGTTTGCCGAGGCCAGGGTTGAGGTAAGGCTGGGTGATCGGACGCAGACTTTCCGCCACCACAACACTCCGAGACTCACAGCATACGAGCATGGAAGGAAATCTTTACGAATTTTGACATGACATGCACCTGCATAACAAAATTTAATTCATAACAATGTTGGCACACATAACAATAGCAAGTTAAGAGTGAGGCATGAGAAACTTGGGCTGTTCTCGACCCAGTTATGAAATATGAATATTGATAACCATCACGTGTTGATGGACTAAAAGTATCTTGTTGGAAATTAGCTCCAAGTTACCAAACACCATGATTAGGACATCATAGATATTTATCATTCAGGTGAAAAAAAATAATCATGTGCTTAACTAGTTGTAATATTGGTGACGTCTGTGCCATGAATCTCATATTCCGAGACTTTATGAAGTGAAATTTAAAAACTAAAAGCAGCAGTAGACAGGAAACAAGGCAAGTGACCAAGAAGTAGTCACTCATGATGACACACGGCCAGGCATCTACGCTCAGGGTCGAGGTCTTCCACAAAGTCGCTGCTCCGGACCAGACAAATTTTTTTGGGGTGATTCCATGATTATTGTGAATTGCAACATTCCAAGCCAAAATACTTCAATGTAGTTACTGATACACCATTAAATATTGTAAACATGACGATATGAATTGCTAGTAAGTGTGAAACCATAATATTCCCAGGGTTGTGGTAATATCTATACATGAATAGGCCTTACCTTGTCGGCTGACCGCTCACTCCCTCTTGACGAAATTTGGTTCAAGTTTAGAAGCTCCAAAAGTTGTTGGTAGCGAAAGTCAGAGCGGGGAAGATGACAGAGGAAGCAGCAGGGGGTTGGGAAGGGAATTGTAGTGGGAGAGATAGTGCCGTGGCTTTACACGACTGCGTTTATTTGGTTAGCGCATAGCGCACGTATTTGTTTTTTTTGTCTGTGTTGGGTGTGTGATCCTCGGGTCACCACTCCTCCGGATTGTGTCAGTTCAAGCTTAGAAGCTCCAACAACTTTCCCTGAATACGAATTCGCAACCTTTCGATTTACAACAGATACCTACTTTACTGCTAGGTGAACAGGGACCAAGGGGGCTAGGAAGAGTGTCCAAACAACTTCCGCTTGCCCGGGAATCGAAGCCGTGACATCTTGCTTGCGAGGCAAGAGCGGTACCGCTTCTACCACAAGCGCCCCTAAACGAAATTCGGCCCCCGGCCACCCTTTATATATGCTGCCCTGATGTTTCATGTGTAATACGAGGATTCGCATCTAGTGGTTCCAAGCCAGTGTTTTGGGACAAGGCAAAGTTTTTCATTCTCCAATCTTAACATGTTATGTTATGTGTGGCAACAATGTTATGAATGCACTTGTTATGCAAGTTCATGTTATGTCAAAATTCGTAATAAGTTTCTTCCTGTGCTCGTGTGCTATGAGTCTCGGAGTGTTGTGGTGGTGGAATGTGAACCTCACCATCGCAGTGCTTCGTTACCACATTGCTGAGCTAGTCTGGGTCCGATCACCCAGCCTTACCTCAACCCTGGCCTCGGCGATCACCCAGGGGGGTGTCGAAACTTTGGATTGTGACTGTACCTGGTGCTAGAGCGATGACCTGCTAAACGCGTTTGTAGCCCTTTGACAAGTGGGGGCTTCCCCCGGCTGAATAAAATCGTCTGGTGTTTGCTAGAATAAAATACTCAATGTAACAGCACTAATGAATGAGCAATTAGAGATAGTCTTGATGGTTAATTTTGGTTCTATGCATTCCACTCCACGAGTTTTAAGACGGGCCGACCACTGGCCGCGTACCGGTATTAGATGTGATAGCTCTGATACTCGTCCTGGGTAGTCGCTCAAGGCAGTTGGAGCGTTACAAATATCGGAAACAGTATCCATTGTTTTTTTACTATTGATCCCATAATCATATTATCAAAGAAAGAACAGATAATGACAAGCGTCGGATGGTACAGGAAAAGTGGAAAATCTTGAATCTTTATGCTGAAATGAATGGAAAACCGACATGTTTCATTTGTAAGCAACAGGTAGCTGTTGCCAAAGATTACAACGTTCAAAGGCATTTTGACACTAAACCTGCTCAGAGGTATAATAAATATAGTGGCAAGTTACGGGAAGACAAAGTTAAAGAGCTTTAGCAGTCGTTGAAAAAGAAGCAGTCAGTATTTAAGAGTGTTCATCAAGTCAGTGATGCTGCAGCTACGGCAAGTTACAGGATTGCCCATGAAATAGCAGTGTCATCGAAACCTTTTTCTTAAGGGAACTTTATAAAGAAATGTATGTTGATGGCTTCAGAAGATATTTGTCCGGAAAAACGTCAAGCCTTTGCAAACATTAGCCTCTCAAGAAACACAGTTGCAGAAATAATTAATGAATTATCAAAGAATATCAACAGTCAACTCAAAGACAAAGTTAAGTTCTTTACTGCATTTTCTGTTGCAATTGATGAAAGTACCGATATAACTGATGTAGCACAACTTGCAATTTTTATACGCGGTGTGGATGAAAATATGCAGTTAACAGAAGATTTTGTGGAACTGGTACCAATGAAAGGAACAGCAACAGGTGATGATATCTTAGCGAGATTGGCAGGGGCACTAGATAAATTACGTGTTGACTGGGTATAAACTGTGAGTCTGGACACAGATGGAGCACCGCAAATGGTGAGCAGAAAAGCTGACGTGGCAACAAAATTAAAGTAAAAATTATGTAATCAAAATTATGAATGAATATAAAAGTGATCGGTGATTGCTTACTTAGTTCCCTGTTGCTTAATTAAGGGTTGGGCTTTGTTGTTTCGTATTATATTATACTATGTATTACAGTAAACAAACGGCCTTGAGTTGGCAGCTGTCTCCAGCAGTGTTCGAAGAATCTTGAACGAGACTGTACCTCGACAGTTAGATGGTCGACCTTACCTTGATAGCGACCGAGGTATGGTTCTCAAAGCAGCACCAGAGAGCGTCTCGATAGGTGTAAGGTTCCTTCATCTCTTGAGCTGTCTTGATCACCCACTTGTCTGGCTCTTCCTGTTGCGCATAGCAGATCTGGAGGCAAGTGGAGGGCAGATGCTTTTTACCAAAAACTGTATTGAAGGCTCATTAAGTGTATCTGATCTCTTAATGATACATTTTCTATATGCTAAAATCATCGACCTACAACGGGGCCTGGGGGGAGGGGGGGGATGCAATAAGAGTAAATATAAATTAAAGACACAGAAGAAAAAACTATACTAATCTACACCACGAAGATGCCGGAAAACCAGCTTTTTGAAGTTAAACAGATTGTAAGAGTATGGAAACACAAAAGAACGCAGACCATTTCACAGTTTGGCTGTGTGAGGAAAGAAGGATGCACTATAACGGGTTATTCTAGTGTGACCGACATTCACATAAAAACGGTGGGCTTTGGATTCCACCCTATCTAACAGTTGGACAAAAGAAGAGCCACCCCAGATATGAGAGCAGTACTCCAAGTTAGGACGAATGAATCCCAAATAAACTTGAAGCAACTGCTCAGGAGTGAAGTAGCTACGGCATCTGTACAGCATTCCCAGCTTTCGGGAGGCAGCTTTAGCAATGTTGTGGATGTGTTGCTTCCATGATATATTAAAGGAAAAGGTGAGGCCTAGCATAACCCTTTCAGAAATTGATAGAATAATTGCGTCCTGAAATATGATTGGTGGGAGATGTTCTATTTCGGAATATGTAATTGGTAAATACTGTGTTTTATTACTATTGAATATAACCAAGTTTCTACCTCCCCATTTGGAGATGCTGCTCAGATCCGCATTGATAGATGAAATTAAATCTGTAGGTTAAGTATCTATGCTACTGTGCCAAGTAGCAACCTTGTAAATAAGCTACTGTGCTGAGTAGCATCTATGTATATAATTACGTGGCAACACTGCACGTGTTATGTGGCAACATTGCCCCGAGGCTGCCATATGGCAAGGCAGTCTCAGTCTGACTGTGTGGGCCGTGCATGGCACAAGCTAGTCACCACCTGTATTTCTCCTATCCCAATAAACGGACTTCAGTGTTACCCGGTGTTTCCCTACCCATCACTGCATTCCTCAGGGAACACTTGGAACCTTCAAAATCAGCCCTAGAAACAGATCTAATTTGAGAATTAGGAGGAAGGGAAAATGTGAAGACCAGTGAAGAGTAGAATCGTCAGCGTAAGAATGGATAGAATTAGTCATAATGTGAAGTAAATCGTTGATTAAAAGGATGAAAAGAGAAGGTGAAAGAACAAAACCCTGTGGGACACCACTATTGGTATAGAAAGAGCGAGAGGTCAATCTTTCGACAACAACTGCCATGGATCGGTTCTCAAGGAAGCTAGAAATTAGAAAACAAAGTGGGAAAGAGAAACAATAAGAGGGAAGTTTAGATAGCAAAGACTTACGCCATACCCTGTCAAATGCTTTGGAGCTGTCGAGAGCCTCGACGAAAGCTTCCCCATAATCCATAAGGAGGGATGACCAAAGATGGGTGCAGTAGGAGAGCAGATCACCAGTAGATCTCGCCTGGCGAAAGTCATACTGGTGATCCGACAAAAGAGAAAGGCGTTCAAGGTAACGGAGAAAATGAGAGTTTAAGATAGTTTCGAAAATCTTAGAGAGGGATGAAGTTAGGGCAATGGGGCGATAGTTAGAGGGATTAGAATGGCCACCCTTTTTCGTGATGGGATGAACCGAGGCATCCTTCCAAGAAGAAGGAAAAGTTTCGGTTTTGAGGCAGAAACAAAAGAAGCAAGCAAGCACAGGGGCCAGAATTTTAGCACACTCCCTTAGAACACGAGGGGGTATTCCGTCATGTTCATGCACCGAACTCGCATCCAAACTGGATAATACACCAGCAACTCTACTCGCGGAGATTATAGGAAAGTTCATAGGGTCTGTAGGAAGAGCAGGAGTAGGAGGGGTAGAGTTGGAATCGTCTAAGGTGGAGTTAGAGGAGAATAAGATGCCAAAGAGATTGGCTTTATCAGGGGGAGAGTTGGCTATAGAGTTATCAGGTCGGCGGAGAGGAGGAAAAGAGGGAATGCATAAGTTATTACAGAAAAATTAGTTAAGGACCAGAATGATTTACTAAAAGAAGAGTTAGTCAGGTCAGAGGTCTTTCTTTTTATAAAAGTCCGCTTGGCCCTACGAAGAATAACCTTACAACGATTTCTAGAAGTAATGAAAGAGGAGTGGTGTAAGAGGAGGAGATAGTTTCATAACTTGATACGCCCTATCTCTCTCTCCCTACATGCAAGAGAACAGGAGCGATCAAACCATGATTATACTGTGATGTGAAAGTTTTAGTAGAAGATGGGATAAATGCACTCGTACCACCCTGTATAACCCTAGCAATGCTGTCAGCACATACCGAGGCGTCCCGAGTGGAAAAGCAACATTCATCCCAGGAAAAGTTGGAGAAGAAATATCGCAAGGATTGCTAGTTTGCCCTACGATAGTGCCATAGTTAGCGTTTAGAAGGGGGAAGGGGAAGAGTTCGTGCCCAGTTTGATTTAGTAGAAATAAGATTGCGATCAGAACACCATAGGGGGCAGAAATTGAGTATGAATACTGTGAGGGGTTAGAGGTAAAACAAAGATCAAGAATGTTATTAAGTTGATCGTGTCGATCAGGAACGCGTGTAGGGTGTTTAATTATTTGTTCCAGATCATTAAGTAAGGAAAAAGAGAATGCCTCAGTTCCACCTGGGTCATCCCTTGCAGAGCCAAGCCACTCTCTGTGATGTACATTGAAATCCCCTAGGTAGAGGATCTCGGTGTTGGGGTGTGAGGATAGCAACGACTCATGCAAGAAGTGATAGAGTTGAGTGAACAGTATAAGAAACAAAGAAAAATAGTCATAGTTGGTGAGATGTTTTGAGACAGATGACATCGTAAAGAGAAGATTCATGATCCGTGAGTTGAGCTGTAGTACCGTAAGTGTGTTTCAGTAGGTGCATACTCCTCCCTTAGAACGGAATGAGACTTGAAAAGGTTGGGTGAAGCTGCTTTGGTCAGTTGAAGTTCAGATAGTAGTAAGAAATCGGGGGAAGAGGTTAATAGATGGTGTTACACAGAAGACAAAATGGATCTCACACCGCGAATGTTGGAAAAATGAAGTGTGAAAAAAATCGATCCTCCAGCAACCGCGGTTAGTTATGTACCTCACTGTACGCCCATATGCCTGCAGAGTTGGTCCAGGGCCCAGGTTCTCCTGGCTCGCTCGCTGGGGAGTAATAGTCGGTCTGACTAAGGTCGTCAAGTGTCCAACAGTGGCCGTACGTAGGCACACCCATCGCTATCTTGGTGCTTGGCATTCCTTGCTGTATCCAGTAGTTGACGACGAATTCCTGTACCCAATGAAAATATGTTTTCACTAGGCGACCTCTGTGTAATACTTTATTATGATGAACACAGAATTTGCCATTAGCTGGCAACTATGCTCCAGAAAGACAACATAGTACAAACAAACTTCCAAATTGTATCCTTATTAAAGAAGAGTTAATTTACATTTCCCAATTATACATCGACCCGAGAAGACAGGATGTAAGGCGATGGATTTATTTTTAGCCTTCTCTGTGCTCTTTTTATCCACTACAATGATATTCATGTACTACATAGAATAGACCTTCCCCCAAATCACTGCCTTTCTAATGCAGCCCAGTTACTCACACTATTCACCCAACATCTGACAAACTATCCTACTGTAGTTGAATTTTGAAAATAATTGCTCCAACCATATTCTACTAAGCGTAAGCCAAAAACGTTAGGATATCTTCTGATATTTTGGATTTTTCTAATAGTCACAGACTTCAGTCAATAAACCTTGATTATACGTCTTCCAAGATGATTTTAGTACATTAACTCATAGATACATATACCTAGAAAAAGACAGACCGTTGGTATGGAACTCGATAGGTTCTTCAACCTTGATCGATACTTTTCAGTTAAGCAAGTCATAGTGCTGGAACTATACTGCCAAGTATTGATAAACTGAACGAGTGTGACAACTCTTTCTCAAGAGAATCAGAAACGAAAGATTCACTGAGCAAAGCATTGTAAAAAATTGGACGAGTCGGGGACGAGGCTCATTGAGACAATAAGAGAACAAGTGATAACTTGCTGCTCCAGTGTTTTAACTTTGTGATCCAGCCAGAGAATCTTCCTACAATGTCATTACTCGCTTTACCCCGCGTAGCTGTAGGAGATCCACGTTGATTAGGTCGTGCATATATTCTCTAACTTTTGAATCTCAAAGTTGATAAATATATTATTAAGTGAAGATTAAATAACAGGTTATGGGAAAATATATTTATATGTACACTAGTCATGGAGGAACATCCCTTTACTCTTATTGTAAAAGTAAAGCTGAGCCAAGTGTGATATATTTATTGATTGTAAAACTAAAATTGAGCAGCCATGAATTTGTGACGCCTTCTGGAGGTTAGATAGACGTTAGATTATGTGAATGAACCGATTAAAAATATTTCTCAAATATATATTGAGATTATTTTCTGTGTTTTTGTGGATGGATTTAGTTCGTAGCAAAATCAATAATAATAATAAGGAAGAATTTTTAAACTTGCATCATAATCCTTACATCATATATCATAAAGGTGAAAACATCTTACAACCAATTGCCTAAGAGTGAACTGTAGGAAACTTACAGTACATGAGTGCAAAAACTAGATATAGCATAACAACTTCATGTTTGTTTCTAAATCGGTTGTGCTCCGAGATTTTAAAGGTCAATTGTTTGTCCAGTGTTTGGTGAATTTCAAGAAGAATTGTATATTAAAGTGCATATAACATCCATGTGTACTACCGTCCAAGTGGAATTGTTTTCACCACATTTGTCATGTTGTCTATGTAGTATTAACAAGTAAATAAATTATCATGTCCTGAAATAATACTCAATGTGGTCAGGATGTGCTTTAATGTTCCGTATGATATTAAACGGTTTGGAACAAAATTGCATATATATATATACTTATATAAAAACGAACAACTACGTCTGCTCTTTTATATCATAACCCCATCAGAACAAAAAGTATTTATGAAGGGAAGCAAATAATTATCATAAAGCAAAGAATTCAAATAATCAAACCGTGCGAGATGTTAACACTAACTGAACTTACTTTTAATCTTAACACCCTGATCTAAAGATATGGAATATAATTCATTATGTCTCCCTGGCAACAAAACTCTTAGAAATCTTCAGCTAATAACCCGATAATTACACCACACATCCTGCACATTATACTCACCACTCTAAAGATTATAATCTTGATTAAATTTTTTATTTGTGGTTTTTACTATCATTATCATAATAAGATCTAGTAGCACCATATTCACAAAAATATCTACCATATTATTTGCTATGGAATCATCTGTGATCTAGTAAACAGTACATCTATCGGATGTGTGACACTATAGTAAATTATTGGTACTTCATCATGATAATTGTCTGTCCTTCCATAACCAGTATCCATTGATAATTTTAATTCAAGTGAACTTACAATGTTGAGCTCCCTGTTACGACCGGTGTCCTTATAGTAAGGGTAGAGTCCTGACTGATGATGGACGTAGTCATTCCAAGAACCGTGTAGGGAATAAGTCATGAGGTTCACCAGATCCACGGACTGGGCTATCCCGGGCACGTCGTAGCCTGCATCGATTTTTTGACTGGAAGAGGGTACGGCAGCCGTCAGCATCATCCCCACGGCATGTAACGCGTCGTGTAGTTCGCCCAATAAGATGACGTAGTTATCCTTAAAGTAAACCAAAGGTTAACTATTTATACTTGTAATCTAGACCATCAACGGCCTCATAGTAAACAACGTTACAGCCTCACAGTATACACCAAAACAACCTCACAGAAAACACTGTCACAGACTCACTTTAAAAAGTTGAAACTCATTGTGGCCAGACATGGAAGACGATTAGGGCTACACATTTAACACTATCAAAGCTACACCTTAAACACTTCAAATTCAAAAAAAATATACTATATACATCATGATCACGCAGGGAACACTATCAGTCCATCCTTTAAGTACTATCAGGGCCCAAAATAAAAACTATCAAGTCCACACAACAAAAGCTATCTATTCCACACAGTAAAAGCTATCAAGTCCACACAATAAAAGCTATCTATCCCACACAGTAAAAGCTATCAAGTCCACACAATAAAAGCTATCAGGCACATATACCACGGTCGCACAGTTCACACATACACATGACACACTTGGATCATATAATTATTTTTTTCATGACAGTAAAGTACCGTATACTAGAACCAACAAATGATATATCACTTTTATTACACAGCATATTCTTCTCCTATATGTGGATTGATAAAATTTCAAGGTACTACGTTTACTGAATGGACGAGTTGTGGGTCGGAAATTTTTCGTAAGATGGCAGGTCAATGGGTAAGGAAAACGCTTAAATTCGCTATGGTAATGATATTTTAAAATAAAGTGGGCCAAAAGGGGAAAAAATAAGGGTTGAAGATGCTAAGAAGTCAGGTGACTGCGAAAAGCTCTGTGATTGGTTGTGACGTCACATATTTGCTCGAGCCGCCGAGTGGGAGCCTGAAGGCAGCCAGCTGTGGTGTATGTGTTGTTACCAGTAGAAATACACGACTTGTGGCCATATACAATGTTTATATACACAGGCATACCTTATTTTTAGGTTAAAATAAATAACTGCTCAAGTATCATCGTGTGTATTTACCTGCTGGGTGCCAAAATGATGCAAAAGAACGATAGCTCCAACAGGAAGATTTTCATCACTGTTCTCTATTTCATGTCTGGAAAATATTAGTTTTCGTCACTGAAGTCTATATTTAATGTTGTGGAAAGACTACGGACTACCATGGCCAGGGGATGGGCTTGAGATGATCAGATGACAGATGACAGTTGCTACCTGACCCAGCTTGGAGAAGGTAGTGCCCCCAAGTGCTCCCGTTAGTGACCAAGGAAAATGGTCGCCTTGGATCCTTGTGTCTTGGGGGAAGAGGAGGGGGGTGCGAGGAAAGACGACCTCCTGGCCACTCTGTTAAGGCAGCTGGGTCAGTTGAGGAGTGAGCTTGACACTCTAAAGGAGGAAAATGAAGCACTCAGGACTGAACTCCTTCAGGTAGGTGTCCTGCCTAGCAGGACACCTGCAAAGGAGGAGCAGGAGTGGAGAGTGGTTGTCTCCAAGGGGACTACGGTCAGACTCAGAAAAGCTGACCAGGGTGTGGAGTGTAGTAACCCCTACCAGGTGCTGGAGGAAGCTGGCGAGGAAGAGAAGAGGCAGGACGGTATGGAGCAATTGCTATAAATTGCCGACTGGAAAAACATTGTGCAAACAATGGTTGGGCATTCATTGATAGCTGGCAACGATTCTATGGCAACGACTACCTGTACAGTCGCGACGACGGAGTACACTTGTCTCTTGCGGGGGTAGAGACGTTGTCTGCATCCCTGTAGCATGCAATTGTCACTCCAAAGGGTGGGGGGGGTTCGCCAGTAGAGAGAGGTCGGGGTAAGTGGGAGTAAAAAAAGAAGCTGGTCCTGGGAAGTAAAATTGGTTACTCAGGACAAGGGGTAAAACAGGACCAGGGAAGAGTAGGTTTAAATGTATACTATACAAACAGTAGGAGCGTTTGAAATAAATAGACTTGCTGAGAGCAGTTGTATGTACCGAGAATGTAGACGTCATAGCAATCACCGAAAATTGGATGAATCTGGCGAGCAAAATTTTTTTATCAGAGTACCACATAGAAGGGCAGTTGTACAAACCCTGCCCACAGGGAAGGTCGTGGTAGTTGGGGACAGCCAGGTGAGGTTTTTAGATAGGACTTTTTGTGTAAGAGATAGGAAACGTAGGACTAGGGTGTGTTTCCCTGGGGCTGGGATAGGACATGTAGCTGAGAGGATAGACAGGGTTTTGTCAAGGGAGGGTACCAATCCATTAGTGTATCTTAGTGTGGGAGGAAACGACATAGGAAAGGTTAGGGGTGTGGAACTTTTCAAGAGGTATAGGGAGGCGCTGGGGAAGATTAGAGATAGGGGAGGGATCCCGATAGTATGCCGTGTCTTGCTTAGAAGAGGGGTTGGTCGTGAATGGCTGTCCAGGGCAATTGCTATAAATTGCAGACTGGAAAAAACATTGTGCAAACAATGGTTGGGCATTCATTGATAGCTGGCAACGACTACCTGTACAGTCGCGACGACGGAGTACACTTGTCTCGTGCGGGGGTAAAGACGTTGTCTGCATCCCTGGAGCGTGCAATTGTCACTCCAAAGGGGGGGGGGTTTCGCCAGTAGAGAGAGGTCGGGGTAAGTGGGAGTAAAAAAAGAAACTGGTCCTGGGAAGTAAAATTGGTTACTCAGGACAAGGGGTAAAACAGGACCAGGGAAGGGTAGGTTTAAATGTATACTATACAAACAGTAGGAGCGTTTGAAATAAATAGACTTGCTGAGAGCGGTTGTATGTACCGAGAATGTAGACGTCATAGCAATCACCGAAACTTGGATGACTCTGGCGAGCAAAATTTTTTTATCAGAGTACCACATAGAAGGATATAAAATTTTTCATAAGGACAGGGAAGGTAGGAAGGGGGGAGGGGTCGCACTCTTCATCAAGGATACATTAAAATGTTGTATTAATAATTCAATAACGGGTGAAATAGGAACCGAGTCTGTATGGGTAGAAATCAGGGAAGGAAGAGAAAAACTAATTATGGGAGTGATTTACAGGCCCCCAAGTCTTGGGAAAGAAGCAGCTCAGCCCATATGGCAGGAAATGAGTAGGGCAGCAAAATATAACAACCTGTGCATTATGGGGGATTTCAGCTTCATAAATATTGACTGAGACAACATTGTAGGTGACTATGAATCTGAAGACTTCCTAGACGCAGTACAGGACAATTTTTTAAAACAACTAATTACAGAACCTACTAGAGGTGACAATATATTAGACCTAGTATTAACAAACAAAGAAAATATTATCAGAGATACCACAGTAGGGGAAGAACTAGGTAACAGTGATCACAGAGAAATCAGGTTCACCCTAAATTGGGAAACGAAAAACAATGACAATATGGTCAGAGTCCGAAACTTTCGGTTGGCGGATTATCAGGGGTTAAGAAGGTACCTAGGTGAGGTCACCTGGGAACAGTCATGTCAGTCACCAGTAGGAAGGGGTGAGGTCATAGATGACACAACAATTGATCTTGACTATAATATATTCACTACACTGTTAGAAAATTCAGTATTTTTTACATGTTTCTTCTGTATTTCCGACCAGGAAAACGTAGTAATTTGAATTACTTTTTTTGTTCTGTACAATATTTCAGACACTCTCTTTCTCTGTTTCAACTTGTTTAATTATCAATATAAACTGATATTTTATCAGACTATATACACTTCATGGTGCAAAGAACATTTAAAATTGCATGTTAATGCTGTTATTTCTATATGTAATTACTGAATATGCGATTGGCGGTTGTTTGTGCTTCACGTTCGTCGTATGTCCGTGTTTGCTTACATTATTTCAAAGAGCGCCACATCATCACATGACGGGGGCGCTGGTGCAGTGGTACCGCTCTTGCCTCGCAAGCAAGATGTCACGGGTTCGATTCCCGGGCCGGCGGAAGTTGTTTGGACACTCTTCCTAGTCTCCTTGGTCCCTGTTCACCTAGCAGTAATGTAGTCACCTGCTGTAAATCGAAAGTTGCAAATTCTTATTCAGGGACAAGTTGTTAGAGCTTCCAATAGCATCCAACAATCTGTTAATTCAACAAATATTTTTTGTAAAAATATATACAGAATCTCTGTAGATTATACAGAAAATGTTTGGCAACAATATAACCAGAGAATTTTAGGTAAATTTTACAATATTTATTTAACAGTGTAGTATACTACATAAAGCACAAGAACAAAATATACCATACAGAAAAATTAGGTCAAATAAGAATGAGCCAAGGTGGATGACCAGAAAACTTAAACATGACATAGGAATAAAGAAAGGAGTATATAAGAAATTAAAGGGAGGGGAGGAGCAGCTCAGAAATAGGTATAATGAACTATCTAGGAATGTTAAGAAAAATGTAAGGAAAGCAAAGAGAGACTATGAAAACAAAATAGCAAGAGAATCCAAGGCGAATCCCAAGAAATTTTTCCAGGTATATAGAACAAAAGTCAAGGACAAAGTTGGGCCTTTAAAGTCAGGGAGGGAAGAACTGATAAATGGCAGTGATGTAATAAGCAAAGCATTGAACAGCTACTTCTTATCAGTTTTCACAGAAGAAATTCGAGATGAAATTCCAGAGGTGGAACTGATATTTAAGGGAAAGGAAGAAGAGAAATTAAAGAATATCACTATCAGAAAAGAGGATGTTCTTAAAAGGATAAGTAAACTAAAGAAGACAAAATCCCCAGGGCTGGATGAAATTTTCCCTTGAGTTTTGAAAGAGTGTAGGGAACAGATTAGTGGACCCCTCGTAAACTTACTTACAAAATCATTAGACACCGGAGTTGTGCCAGACTTGTGGAAAGAGGCAACTGTAGTACCCATATTCAAAAAGGGGAGACAGAGCATCAGCGTCATATTACCGGCCGATCAGTTTGACGTCAGTAGTGCGGAAATTTCTTGAATCAATTATAGCAGATAGCATCCGATCGCATTTAGAGAAAAGCAAATTAATGTACAACTCTCAACACGGGTTTACAAAGAGAAAATCTTGTCTAACAAATCTGCTGACTTTTTTAGGGAAGTC